TGCTCTACCTAAAATACATAAACCAACTTTATCTATGAGACCAATTGTTTCATCTCTATGCCCTCCAAATGGACCAATAGCACAGCTCCTCACTGACATCTTAACCAATGCTTATAATTTAAACAACAATTTTTACATAAAAGATTCATTTGATTTTAGTTCTTTCATTAATAATTTCCAATTACCACAAAATTATGTTTTAGTTAGTTTTGATGTAACATCTCTTTTTACTAATTTACCTTTAAATTTAATCATAAGTAGTGTTGAAAAACATTGGAATGAGATTTCGCAACATACTAATATTGACTTATTACATTTTAAAACACTCATCAACTTTGTTTTTGATTCTAATATTTTTATATTTAATGGTGTTTTTTATAAACAAATTTTTGGTAGCCCTATGGGATCTAGTCTTTCACCCATTCTAAGTAGCTATGTCATGGATGATGTTATTAGTGATTGTATCAATAATTGCACTTTTTTCATTCCATTTATCAAAAGATATGTAGATGATCTAGTTTTGGCACTTCCTAAACACAAAATTCTTGAAACAGTCAACATTTTCAACAATCATAATCAACATATACAATTTACAGTTGAGGAAGAGGTAGATAATTCTCTACCATTCCTTGACATGAAAATTGTAAGAAATACAGACAATATGTTGAAAACTAGATGGTTCAGAAAACCCATATGTAGTAATAGATTTATAAGCTATTACTCTAATCATCCAAATAAAATGAAAATGAACCTTATAACAGGATTAAAGGAACGTGTTTTAAAACTTTCTCATCCAGACTATCTACAAGAAGATCTTCATTTGTTAAAAAATATTTTAATTGAAAACTCTTATCCTCCTGATATGCTACATAGGATGCTTTTTTCTAATTTATTAAATATAAATAACTTAACACCATTTTTTGCTAAATCTCAAAACACTGTATCCAACAATCAAAACATATATTATCATTCACTACCTTTTATACCATCTTTAACTCCTAAATTAATACAAACATTAAAGGTTATTGACAATATAAAAATAGCAACAAAGAACATCAAAACTATTTCATCTTTATATTCCAAAACTAAATATCCTATAGACAAATTAGATCAAACAAATGTAGTATACAGCATTGTTTGTACTCAGTGTGAAGCTGAGTATATTGGTGAGACTGGAAGAAATCTCTCAAATCGCATTATTTCTCACAAGAGTGATTGTAGAATTAAGAAACCATCTTGTGCTTTGGCAGAGCATGTAATAGACAAAGACCATATTATGGATTTTGATAATATTAAAATTTTATGTAATGAAAGTAATAAATTTAAAAGAACTTTTTTGGAAATGGTTTGTATTAGCAAAAGTGATAATAATTTAAACAAAAGGTCAGAAATTCAAAATTTAAGCAAAATTTATAATTATATAATTTCTATTTAATTTATGCAGTCAGTAAAATATCACATTTTGAATTTTCCATGTATTTGTTACATTTTTTCGGGCATCTATCAATGATGAATAAATCTTCTTCTTTTTTGTTACTAAACAAAGAAGAATTTTTAAACAAAAATTTTATTTTTGACAATATGTCAAAAATAAAAATTTTTAAGTTGTTATTTACGTCATTTAGGCTGAATTGTAGCTATTCAATTTTTGTTTATAAATCCAATTGTTTTTTGTTAAGAAACTTTATCTAAATTTGTCAGAGAAACATTTATTAGAATAGAACATTTTTTTAATAATATTTTTTGTAATAATGTTAGCAGCAGTTTTATATAAATAACTAATTTTATTTGGTGAGTTAACAACAACATTATTTATTTCTAGTTCAACTTTGTAAGATATTTTGTATTTTTAGAAGCTCTTGATAAAAATTGTAATCACAATTGAAAGCTCGAGTAAAAAATAGTCAACAAATAGCCCCTTTTATTGACTCCAACCCATCAAAAACAGTGTTATATATATATATATATATATATATATATATATATATATATATATATATATATATATATATATATAACACTGTTTTTGATGGGTTGGAGTCAATAAAAGGGGCTATTTGTTGACTATTTTTTACTCGAGCTTTCAATTGTGATTACAATTTTTATCAAGAGCTTCTAAAAAATACAAAATGTCTTACAAAGTTGAACTAGAAATAAAAAATTTTTGTTAACTCACCAAATAAAATTAGTTTTTTATATAAAACTACTGCTTACATAATAAATACAAAAAATATTAATAAAAAAATGCCTTATTCTAACAAATGTTTCTCTGAAAAATTTAGATGAAGTTTCTTAAGAAAAAAAAATTGAATTTATAAACAAAAATAGAATAGCTACAACCAGCCTAAAATGTCATAAATACTAACTTAAAAATTTTTATTTTTGACATATTGTCAAAAATAAAATTTTGTTTAAAAAATTCTTCTTTGTTAAGTAACAAAAAAGAAGAAGATTTATTCACCATTGATAGATGCCCGAAAAAATGTAACAAATACATTCAAAATGTGATATTTTACTGACTGCATAAATTAAATAGAAATTATATAATTATAAATTTTGCTTAAATTTTGAATTTCTGACCTTTTGTTTAAATTATTATCACTTTTGCTAATACAAACCATTTCCAAAGAAGTTCTTTTAAATTTATTACTTTCATTACATAAAATTTTAATATTATCAAAATCCATAATATGGTCTTTGTCTATTACATGCTCTGCCAAAGCACAAGATGGTTTCTTAATTCTACAATCACTCTTGTGAGAAATAATGCGATTTGAGAGATTTCTTCCAGTCTCACCAATATACTCAGCTTCACACTGAGTACAAACAATGCTGTATACTACATTTGTTTGATCTAATTTGTCTATGGGATATTTAGTTTTGGAATATAAAGATGAAATAGTTTTGATGTTCTTTGTTGCTATTTTTATATTGTCAATAACCTTTAATGTTTGTATTAATTTAGGAGTTAATGATGGTATAAAAGGTAGTGAATGATAATATATGTTTTGATTGTTGGATACAGTGTTTTGAGATTTAGCAAAAAATGGTGTTAAGTTATTTATATTTAATAAATTAGAAAAAAGCATCCTATGTAGCATATCAGGAGGATAAGAGTTTTCAATTAAAATATTTTTTAACAAATGAAGATCTTCTTGTAGGTAGTCTGGATGAGAAAGTTTTAAAACACGTTCCTTTAATCCTGTTATAAGGTTCATTTTCATTTTATTTGGATGATTAGAGTAATAGCTTATAAATCTATTACTACATATGGGTTTTCTGAACCATCTAGTTTTCAACATATTGTCTGTATTTCTTACAATTCTCATGTCAAGGAATGGTAGAGAATTATCTACCTCTTCCTCAACTGTAAATTGTATATGTTGATTATGATTGTTGAAAATGTTGACTGTTTCAAGAATTTTGTGTTTAGGAAGTGCCAAAACTAGATCATCTACATATCTTTTGATAAATGGAATGAAAAAAGTGCAATTATTGATACAATCACTAATAACATCATCCATGACATAGCTACTTAGAATGGGTGAAAGACTAGATCCCATAGGGCTACCAAAAATTTGTTTATAAAAAATACCATTAAATATAAAAATATTAGAATCAAAAACAAAGTTGATGAGTGTTTTAAAATGTAATAAGTCAATATTAGTATGTTGCGAAATCTCATTCCAATGTTTTTCAACACTACTTATGATTAAATTTAAAGGTAAATTAGTAAAAAGAGATGTTACATCAAAACTAACTAAAACAATTTTGTGGTAATTGGAAATTATTAATGAAAGAACTAAAATAAAATGAATCTTTTATGTAAAAATTGTTGTTTAAATTATAAGCATTGGTTAAGATGTCAGTGAGGAGCTGTGCTATTGGTCCATTTGGAGGGCATAGAGATGAAACAATTGGTCTCATAGATAAAGTTGGTTTATGTATTTTAGGTAGAGCATAAAACCGTGGTGCAATAGAATTATAAATTTTGAGTATATATATATATATATATATATATATTATATATATATATATATATATATATATATATATATTATTTCAATGATGTCTATGCAGTTTACAGATTTTTGAGTCAACACCAAAGATTCACATCCATAGCTCACTATCGGTCAGATTGTGGTAGATTCATATCTTAGTTTTTTGATGTATGTCTCATGATTTAAATGTTAGGCTCATAACAAAGTACGCCGTTTTGGCTAGGATGATTATTTTACTAAGTTCTGCATAGTCAATGTTGTCCTTTGTGATGTTAATTCCTAAATAGATAAAGCTATCTAGTTTTTCTAATTTGTCCACCGTCAGGTAGAGTCATGTTGCTCTCTTTGATCGACTTTTGATACTCTAAAATTAGGCTTTTTTCATTTATTGACAGACCTATTATCTAAAGCAGACAGCTGAGAGTCTGCTTTAGATAATTTTTAAAAGGCCTAATACAGAAAACAGTCAAATATAACTGACTCATGGTGCTTTTTTGGACATTAATAAGGTATTTTATACAGAATGTGGCCAATTTTATCAGTTTTATATGTGACCATTCATACACCAGTATTATCTGCAACATATACAGGCATGCAACAACCAAGGTAAAAATTCATAACACCATTGAAAACAAGACTTCATTTACCACTTTTTTGGATCAAGCTTGTAAAACATTAAACTGCGGAATAAGGCATACAAATAAAATGACAGTGAATGACATAATAACCTTCGATTTGCTGATGATCTGCTGATAGTATGAATTATAGACAACCTGTTGAAGCCATTGTAATGTTAAAATAACTCCAAAGTGCTGCACAAAAGTAAGCCTTTGGTCCTCAGTGAAAGTATTCATATTAATAAAACAGAAATAGAATTGGTCGAGAAATATACATATCAAAAATATTGACATATAATCCAAAAATAAGATTAGAAATTTATTTACACTGCAAACTGATTATATTTCATAACTCAACTAATGTTTTTTTTATATTCCGTAGCCGTTGCTGAACCACACGGCAGAATAATGGGTTTGGATTTGCCAGATGGTGGTCACTTAACACATGGTTTTTTCACTCAATCTAAGAAAGTTTCAGCTACTTCCTTGTTCTTCGAATCCCTGCCATACAAGGTATTGTTTTGATATTTCTTATGAAAATTACAAATAATTTTTGGCAACACTCAGAATTACTTCCTTTTGAGATGTCAAACTATACAAGTAAATTAACACTAACTACACACTTCAAAAATTTTTAGTTTGAATTCATTATTTTTAATATTTTGTGAATAAGGAAAGCTATACAAAATTAAAAATATCTACAAGTGCTTTCTTTAGATCTAGGATATGATGTTCTATTTAAAGAAACTAAATTTTAGGCCTGACATTTGTGCCACCCTCTACAACAATTACATATTATTCTTATTACTTTGTAGATGTGCATGACATCGAATTCATTATGATCTTAACATAAAAGTGAGACATATTTGAAAACACCCGTTATAGTAAACCCCTAGTAATTTTAATAATAGAGCATATAAAAATAATTTTAAAATATCCAGTTATATGTTGTACCTTTTATATAAAACATCTAACCAAACCTGTAGTGATTCTTATTCATTGATTCACTACTTTGAATCAATTCGTTCCTAGTCATCATATATTTACTCTAACCAGGTTTAAAATAAAAACTGCATGAAAAATAACTAACTAAAATAAAATATAGAGATTTAATGAGAAGTAAAAAATTAAAAGAATATTTATCAATGAATAATTCGATCTGTAACGATTGTCAAAATTTAAAAGTCATAAATGTCATCCAATTAATAACAATATTGAATCTTTATTTAATTTTTATGACACGGACATATCTCGTTTAAAATAATTTCATATAAATACAATTATTATTTTTTGACATCTTATTTAGTTTATATAATAATTAAATCTACTATCAAATGATATTTATTTATATTTTATTATTAATTTATCTCGTCCGAATTTGACAGGTCTGTCAGAAGTAAGCAATGTAAGCTGTGTTAATACTTTAATACTAATTTGTTGTTAAAAGATTCTTTCTTCCAACATTGAACTGTCTTATACAGGGCTGACCACTCACAAAAATCCACCCTGATATTTGGCAATATTCATGGGATTTTGCGAACGTGCTACAACACGTCGATTATTATTCCAATTTTTATTTTTAACGATATAGATATCTGTCATTTGTCAACCCCTACCCTTCCACTATCACAAACCTTAATATTATATAGGGAATATATCATGTGGTACACATAATTCTAAATCATTTTTTACGTTTTAAATTATCTTTTGATCCATTGTACTTTTGCTGTTTAAGAGGTCCTTTCTAATTTGCTGGTATATGGCTCTGAGATCATTGTTTGTCGAAATTTGCATTCATATGTGTTGCGATATACTATTATTTTCCATGATGCAAAATTCTATTTACTTACGATAAAAACAAGTAAATACGTATTGTCGATTGTGTCATTAAATTATTGTGGATAGTACGAAATTGGGTAATCACAAAGATATCGTTATGAAATATATGATGTTGTTAACCCTTGTTTCTTATCTTTGATGATGAAATAGTAAAAGATAGAAATTGTAGTTATTTAAAATATATTCTAAAAATAATTATTGATATAATTATTAAAACATACATGGATTTCTTTATTGAAAAGGTATCTAACATATATAGAAAATATGGACAGTTGGTTTATTATTCAGAAGATAAAAACCTCCTTATTTATTCAATATTTTTTTTTATGGGAAGGAAGTTGTAAATCTTCTAAAGATTATACCAAGCCATGTCCCGTTAAGGATCACCTGATGTGTGTTGGATTTAGGGTGGAAGGATCCATTCGCACTCAGTCCCACAGAACAGTCCTGCTCGCATATACTCATTGCTCCCTGCCTACCAATTTAAGTCTACCGTCTCATCCGGACTACTCATGCGGTAGGACCTCTCCAGACCGGTACCCGTCTTCTCTCTCTATCTCTATCTTCCCCTCTCTTTCTCTCTTTTTATCTCTGTCTTATTTTTGTGACAGATTCCTCTCAAATATTTCCCTCTTTCTGACAATTCGAGTTACTGGAACCCATACTAGCAGTCGGATGATTTTAAAGGCCAAATTAGCGCCATTGAGATATTTGTAAACCTGTTCAAAATATTGACTTATTTTACCTTGTACTTTTTTTGATTTACCATCTAATAACAAAAATTCCAAACCAAAATGATCTCCCATTTAAAGTCTTTGGTAGTTTCTTCATATTGATGTGACCCGTTTGTAAGAAAATAATCTAATTTAGTTTTAGAAGTTTTTCCATTTTTGTCTGTAAAAATTCGTGTAGGTTCTTTATTTTGACACTTTAAATTAAAACTTTGTATAAAATCAGTAAGTAAAACTTTTTCTTTAGAGTCTTTAAAATAATCTATATTTTAAAATCGCTGCATAAAATAGTTGTTTTATAATGTTTAAAACAATAATTTAGACATAAGTAAAGTTTGTTTACAAATATCTCAATATCACCTGCCCCAGAAAGGGCTCTGTAAATATTAAGACAACAAAGACTATCTGTTAAACTAAAAGTAACACAACAACATTCAAAATGTCCCCCATATTTAAAAACTTTTTAGGTTTACAAGATAAACAGTCTTTATATACATCAAAAACCTCCATGCCATTTATCTTTTCTTGTAAAAGACGCTACTTGGTTATAATTTTGATAACCGAATAAATTTTTATTTAGATCACTACACCATGTTTCAGATACACGTAGAACATCAGGATCCTCCGAGCTCAATTCTGTTACGTTTATTAGTTATCGATTGAGAGTTAATACTTGATTTTATTTTTATTTTATTTTACAATGATTTTAAAATCAAAAGAATCTACCTGATTACTATTATTTTGTACAATCAACGTATTTGGTTATGTTGAATTTGTCAGGTGCGTTATCTGTAGGTATAAAAAACGCTGGACCTATGCTCCATGGGGCCATTTATCCAGAGTTTCATAAATGCTTACCTTAAATGACGAATATATATCTGGATGTTTCGAACTAAGAGACTTCCAGCTTACTTCTGGGAAGTGTGGTTGTAGCATAATTAGTAAGTCATTTCCAAATCATGAATGTGTTCACCTGTGGATCTACTGGTATACATTTCCGTTACTGGTAGATCCACAGGTGAACATTTCCGTTCACCTGTGGATCTACGTGGTATACGTGAAGATTTGCCATTTTTTGAACTCCTTTAAGTCTCTTGCCTCTATTTTAATGGATTCGACTATAAGTTGCCTTTTTTGTTTGTTTCTTTTCACTTCTTTCCCTTCATTGTTGTTACGAGGTGAAGTATCCTCACCTAAACTTATAATTTCATTATATTTATCTTTTGTTGCAGCGTTCAGTATAGCACATGAAACATCATTTCTTGCCACTTCTGATTTTATCGAAGAACTGGCAACAGGCTCAGTGAGCTCTTTATTTTTATATGTATGGGTATTAAGCTTGTCAACGTAGATTTTTTTGTTAATTACAATTTTAGAGGATTCCCCACTTTTTTGTACATGTTTTAAATTTTCAGTTTTTGTCTCATTTTTATTTTTATCACATTTTAATACGGCAATAAGCCCTATCAATTAAAATATTTATTTTGTTTCTCAATTCAGTAATTATTACATCTTTTTGTCTTAGAATATAATGAATGAATGAAAATACCAGTGAGTCAACTAGCTTACTTCCTTGGGTCTCCATAGCATCGGAAAATGCCTGGTCTAGGTCGGAAGTTACCTCTGTCGGAGTACAAACATCGTCAGCAATAAACGTAACTACACTATGATTTCTTGCACAGCCAGTATGGAAAGAGCTCTCACAAATACTGCACTTACACCATTTAAAACGTTCTTTTTACACTTTTTACACAGTTTTGACTTAAAGCACTTTCCAACATGCCAACACCATTCGATGTAATGTTGCCAAATCAATGTAATATACCCCATCAACTCAAATACACTCAAAAGGACTCTTCTAACACTCGGGTTGTGGGAAAGATGGGTTTTAGGATAGTTAATTGGGAAAGGTTAAGATAGAATGTCAGATAAGGACAGCGGTCGGCTGCTCCAATTAGTCGCCTTTTACAAGTAGAAGAACCTGTGGGTGTGTGTATTCTTCTTAAGTGGTCTGCATCCAGACCATAATTGCCAGAAGATTCCAATCTCCGATAGGAGTGGAACTTGAAGAGAAGAAGGTCTGCATCCCACACAGGCTCAAATTGAAGAGTAGTGTGTTTAATATATCTCTGTCGGATTTCAGAGTTAATATCTACCTCAGATCTTTCATTCTCGACTTTAATTTTAATCTAACGTAATAAGAATGAACGCAGCATAGGATGTAGAAGGAATAAAAATCGTAATAGTTCATAAATTAAGTTGACAGAAAGAATAATTTAATATACAAGAATATTGCATAGAAACCTTAAAATGAAATGTCAATGCTTTCGGATGCTCTTCAGCCAGCCAGGAAAATAATAATTTCATTTCCCAACTTTGTGTTTACTAAATCTTACAGTTTTTGATCTTCACTAGGTGAAGATCAAAAACTGGGGTTTACACTAGGTTACATTTTACACAGTTTAGTAATTAATTTTTTATTTGTCCTCGTTTTTTACGTGTTTCAACTATCGGGTCGTTTTTGTTCTTATAATAATTTCTATAATCAAATCTTTTTTGAAAATTGGTTAGGATTTTATTACCATACAATTCTATAATATTCTTATTAGTCCTTATAAAAGGACTAACTTTTAAACTTCTTATCCACATATTTATATTGAACTTACTTTTTCTACATTTCCAGCTTATTACTGTTGTGTTGTTTAAAATACAAAAAAAATATTTTTTACAAGACTAAAACGAAAACTTAATTTTTGTCTTTTAGGCGGACCCAGCAACCGGTCTTATAGACTACGACAAACTCCAAGAATCCGCAAGACTGTTTAAACCAAAGATAATAATAGCTGGTACAAGTTGCTATTCGAGACCATTAGACTATAAACGCTTCAGAGAAATCTGTGATGAAGTTGGCGCATATCTAATGTCAGATATGGCGCATATTTCTGGTTTAGTCGCAGCAGGTAATAAAATATTATGTATTGTTTATATAGAAAATGCTTTTGAGTAATGTATATTAAACTAGTGTGTTATCTATAAATGACTAATATGTGTTGCTGCAGGTGTAACTCCAAGTCCTTTTGAATACAGTGATATAGTCACCACGACAACACACAAGAGTCTTCGAGGACCTAGGGCTGGTGTTATATTTTTCCGTAAAGGAGTACGGAAAGTCACTCCCAAAGGAGAGAAGATACTATACGACTTGGAGAACAAAATTAATCAAGCAGTATTTCCAGGATTACAAGGTAACGCTATATTAATTTTTTTTTAAAGCAAGCAGTAAAACCACTTGTAAAAAGTAGTTACTGTTTAGCCTCGTAGACCGTTACATACTGCGACATGGCAGATCTTTTGTGTGTACCCTACATACTGCTGTCGAGCTTCTTTCGGATCGAGGCTTTGATTTAACGAATACTTAAACTGTTTCCTCACTATGCTCATCATGCTCACTTGCTGGATTTTTCGAACTTTAGCTTTATCACTGTTTTCCTGACTATTTGTCAGTAGTTGCTTTTCATATTCGGAAATAAGGTCTTTAGTGGGGTCCAGTTCCATCCCGTTCGGGATGAATAAGGCTGCATTGTTAGTCTTTCATGTTTGCTTGATTTGTTTCTGGTCCATTCTTGTTTCACGTGAAGTTAAGAATGGATGGTAACTTCTTGCAGAGCTCTGCATGTCGGTAGGGGGTTAATGAAACCTGATATCAGGATTTGAGCAGGTTCCACTTGATCGTGCTCATTTCACCTAATTAGCAACCACAATGGAGCATGAAGCGCTTATCTATCAACGTCTCACGGTTTTTGGAAGGGCTAGTAACACAGTAACTTATGAAAGTTTTCAAAAACAATTTACAAAACAGTATTGGACATCTTCGTCTGTGACGTCTACAATGAGCCAATAAAAAAATGTTTTTAGCTTAATTTTAGTTGGTAGTGAGAATTCTAGGCAACATTTTCGCCGTAATCGTTTGTATTTGTTATGAAAAATGTGTTTTTGTCTATTTTATTTCACTTGACGTCATGTCTCCTGTTCATGATGCTCGTTTATTACTTTGTCAAAATTTATGTAACTTTAATCGACAACAAAACATATTAGTACACTATTTATGCAAGTAGTGATAGTGGAATAAAATAAAAACAATTATCCAATTATCTATCAAGTAGTGATAGTGGAATAAAATAAAAACAATTATCCAATTATCTCTACAATGAATTTATTCTACAAAATCTTTGACCTCGTTGTCACTCTACAACGTAAGTAACGAAGAAATAATCGTTTACGTTGACATTATCGCTAAAATTGATATGGAAAAATACCAGTGTGTGATGCAATGCAAACCAACATAAATCGAAATTGACATGATTGTTTTGTATTCATTTAAGAACCAGGAATAATATAAAAAAAATTAAGAATATTCATGTTCTATATATTTTTATATCTTTGGTGTCCTTCTTCTTTTTATGTAGGGATGACTCTGTCCGTTTTTTAATATGCCTTCAGTAAGTTGTCGTTTCATCGATACCGTGGTCTTTCTACTAATCGTTTTTCTATTGGAGAAACGTATCTTGTCGTCTTTACTACTCTATATGATCGTTCCATTTTACTCTTCTCTGTCCTATAGGGTATTACCATAAATTTTTTAAGTGTTTTCATCTCTGCTGTTTCTAACATTCTTTTTGTCCTCCCTGTGTCAAGTCGTGTTTTCTGCTATGTCATTATGTTGTCTGATGACTGTTTGTAATTCTGCATCGTTTCTTTGCTGATATTTTTATTTCCCATCTGTTTCTGTTGAAATTCTGCATTCGTTTCTGCCTGATATGTTATTTTCCATATGTTGTATACATATTGTTATATACATATATACATGACTAGATATTTAAACTCGATCACTTGTTCTATTATCTGACTTTGCAGCTCCAATTTACATCTTAGTAAATTTATTGTTATAACCATGGATTTTGTCTTTTTTGGGAAAATTAACATGTTAAATTTTCTGGCGGTTATATTAAATTGGTACAGCATCTTCGCTTTGAGAGAGTAGTATTGCGTCGGCTGCATAGCAGATTGTAAGTTGTTTTTCTCCCATTTGGTATCTTTTTTAGTTCTTACTTTTTTTATTACTTCATTCATAGTCATTTTGAATAATGAGAGACTGAGCGAATCTCCATGTCTTCTCCCGTTGCCAGCTTGAATAGGGCCAGTTAGTTCTTCTACTTTTACTTATATTTTGTTGTCTTGGTAGATATTTTCGATCGTTTTGATTATTCCTAGAGGTATCTGTCTTGCGTACAATAAGTGGATAACTTCCATTAATTTGACCCGGTCAAATGCCTTCGTAAGGTCCACGAAACATATATATGCCGATTTCATATTCTTGCACTTGCCTCGTTATAATTATAGCGTCGGTGCAGGATCTTCTCGACCTAAAACCTGTTGTTCTTCTGCTAGTGTTATAATTTCATTCAGTTTATTTGTTATTACTTTGGTTGTTATATTTAGTGTCGTGTTTAATAAATTAATTCCTCTGCAATTTTCCGGGTCCCATTTGTCTCCCTTTTTGAAGGTATTAGGATGCTTGATCTCCATACTTGAGGAATTCTGTTTCGTTGTTTTATTTTTTGATTAGGTTTAGATATATATTTGTAGTCTAAAAAGCAGAAGTATAGTGGTTGATTTATTTCCACGCACCTTGGATCCAACACATTCATGGCAAATAAGGATTCTCTTGTTCCAAGGGCATTCCTGAAGCCAAAAGGCGTCTCGCTGATATTTTATTCCAATCTTCCTTCTATATATTTTGTTATGAATAATTTTTTATAAATATTTTGGGGCTAAACAGGCTAAACGTTCGATGGTCAGAGCATTCTAACATTTGTTTTTTTGTATAATGCGATTAAAGTAAACTTCAACCATTCTTTGTGAATAGTTCCTGTATTGCGTTTAGAGTTGTACAAATCCACTAGTACTTGTATAATATTCCTCGTTGATTAGTTTGAATATTTCTACTGGTATTTGATCGAGCCCGGGAAATTTATTGTCTTTTGTTAATTTTATTGCATATAATACTTCTTCTTTAGTAATATTTTTAATACTGTCGATGGTCTCCCGTCGTCTTTCGTCTTCAAAAAGTTCCTAGATGTATTCTTTACATCTTTCAATCAAATTTTCGATGGTGTCTGAAATCAGTCTTCCATTTTTATCTAGTAACAAGTTGTCCCCATTTTTACCTTATTCGTTCCACTTAGCTCCCTTATTTTCTTGTGCAGATTAAAAGTGTCATATTTTAATTATAACTTTTAACACCATTTTTCTTTTCTGTCATCTTATCTACCTGCGAGTATCATTTTATGTGATTTTATCTGTTATTATATGTTCTTCGTTTTTCCATCAGTTCCAGTATCTCGTCAGTCATTCATTGATTTTTCTTGTTTATTTGTCTTGCCACTAATGTATCCTTACTTGCTGTTAACAACATATTTTTGATCGTTTCCCATTTTTTATCATTGCATTCAATAATATTAATTTTTATATTATTTAACTATTACATTAATTGCTTCTGTAGCCATCTATCTAACTGATTCGTTAATTAACTGGGATACCTGTATTTCTTCTGTCACTTTTAGTTAGGAGCTTTTAAAGTTTGGCATGAAATCTTGATAGAACAAGTTTATGATCTGATCCTATATGGATATGTTTTAGTTGATCCGAAGGCAGTCTGTTTGATTTCTTACAATACTGTTTGGGATATCTGCCGGAGACTTCCATGTATATAATCTTCTAGCAGGGAGTTTGAAATAGGTGTTTGTAATTTCGAAGTCTGAAGCACAAAATTGTGCCAGGCAGTCTCCTCTGACATTTCGCCTACTCAATCCAAAGTTCCCTATAAAGTCCACTTTACTACCTTGTCCTATTTTTGCGTTAAAATCGCCCATTACTATTGTGATGTCTCTAGATTTTGCAGTATCTAGCGCTTGTTCTCATTCATTGTAGAACTGTTCAATTTTCTCATCTTCTTTGTAGTTATTTGGAGCAGATATCTGAATTTATAGAACTTGGACTGGGGTGTTTGTAGTCGAATCGCGATTACCGTATCCGATATTGGTAAAAAGATAGTTACAGATTGCTTGGTGATTTTCTGGATTATCGCCACTCCGGTTGTAATGTGTTCCACTGGTACCAGAGTAGTATATTTTCGTGTGATCTTGAGTTGGGTCATCTGGTTTCGCTCATTCTCAAAATGCTGGTTAAGTATTTGCATTTCCTGTATTACGTTATGAATCTGACCTGCGTCATATATTGATTTGACGTTCCGTGTACCTACCTTCATTGCTGACCCGGACGTTTTTCGCAATCTCTGGTCATTTAAGAGCTACCGGAGACTGAGGGACATACTTATCTTATTATAGTATAGAAGTTAGTAAAATTACTTCAGTCCTGCCTCCTAGTATTCAATATTGTATCGATACGTCGTGTACGATGCAGCTCTTCACCACGCATTATGATCTTGACTAGAGAGGAGACTGAGACTTATCTTGAAAGAGCTATATTCACTTCATCTACTCTTGTGGGCTTGTAAGAACCAGTGTTCAGTCAAATGGATATAAACTTACTACCTCTCAAAGCCCACTTCATCTCTAACGGTTAAACTAGAGCTAATTATGATAACATAATGACTTAAAATTTGATATATCTTTAATATTGATATAAATAATCATCATTTTTAGGTGGTCCACACAACAACAGTATTGCAGGCATCGCAACATCTATGAAAATGTCGAAAACTCCAGAATTCGTTGCGTACGCAAAACAAATCGTAGCCAATGCCAAACGACTGAGCGACGGTCTTCAATCCAAAGGCTACAAGGTGGTTACCGGTGGCACTGAACTTCATGTAATGTTAGTCGATCTGAGATCAGCAGGCTTAACAGGATCCAAAGGAGAGTATGTGCTGGAAGAAGTCAATATTGCTTGCAACAAAAATACCGTACCTGGAGATAAGAGTGCATTTAATCCATCTGGAATTAGATTAGGTTGGTAGTGGTTTTAGTTGTTTGTAGTAATTTAAGATTAATGATCTTTGGTTAAGTTCTTAAAACTTGATTTATAAAATTATTAAATAATAGATACAGCTTTAGAAATTGGCCAAAAAACTCTAACGGTCTTACATCTGGGCGTGGCGAGAACTTGATCTAAGTGTCTGCAGATCTGCAGACTCCAAATACCTGGTTATTACGAAGTATTCTTATTTCCCTGGAGTCCTAAAAAGTGGTAAAATTCGGGAGAATTGAAGTATGACTTTTTTGAATATTATGTTGGTTCTGCAAATGAACATTGCTCCGAACTTAAGAAAAATGTTGACTGGAAAACAGTTAGTCAATTAAAGAGATAGCAGCAGTAAGGAAAATTTTGATGACCTAAAACTTCAAAGAATTATTCAGTTATTGCAGACAAGATGGACAAATTACATTGAACTAAAACAAGTCTAGTTTAAGAATTAATACATTTTAAAATAAATACTCGCTGTTTCATTCATTTTTATTTAAAATTCTGTAATTCTGTAAAAAAGTAAATTAGTAATGTCTGTTTGTATTTTTAGGAACTCCTGCTATAACAACTCGTAACATGAAAGAAAAGGATATCGATCAGGTTGTAGACTTCATTGACAGAGCTTTAAAAATAGCCAAAGAAGCGACAGCCCTTTCTGGACCGAAGCTCGCCGATTTCAAAAAAGTGATTCATGAAAATGCTGACATCAGCAAGAAAGTAGCAACTTTAAAGGATGAAGTAAACAGATACAGCGAAAAGTTCCCTCTTCCGGGATATCCTGAATATTGAGAATCTCAGTCCAAGTTTTATTTATTGTGGTCATATTCTAATTTTAATTTTTAAGATTTAGCAATAAAAAATTTAAAAAGCAATAAAACATTTTAAGATATATGTTGTTTTCGATTCTGTATTATGTGAGATATGGAGAACAAGTTTGCCTTTTCCCAATTATCCATCTCTATGCCTAGTTTGTAGCCAAATGTTGAATTTTGGTATTCTACATTTTTTTTATTTAACACTAATACATGGCCTGTTTTTTGTTTTGCATACTGGAACATAGAGGGTGTTACAAATAAAGTATCCCCAAGATTTTGACTGTGACGTGTACTGTTACGTGTAGCTATAACCAACTACGGCTTCAAAATAAAAATCAAAGAACAAGTTATAAAGGTTATGTTAAAGGATGGACGGAGGAAGTAAATAATAAAGAAGAATGGAAACATATTTTGAAGAACGCTAAAAAACAAAACAAACTATGAGAAAATGATATAAGAAAATATGAAGTGATTTACCACTACAATAAAATCCCAAGAATCCCGATATGGGTTGGCTCGTACTCTACAAGTAATGTACAGCCTATAGCCTTATCTATCTATCTAATTTGATAGATTATTAGAAAAAGAAAAGAACACAGTTTTATAGTGGTCTCAGAAAATGCTTAAAATTGTCCAAGCAAAAAATAAAAAAAAAAATTTATATAGGCCATAAAAGTTTGAAAAAAGTTTGGCTTGAAAATGTATTCCTGTTAAATATAAGGCTTTTCAACTAGTCATAACAGGTGACGCAATAGTCATAAATGATGTTACAGAGCCACTGTAACCGATAATTTTAAATGTCAAGTGATATATCGTTTGAAAGGCATTGAAAATACCTATTCTATCGTACTAATTTTTGTGGGTTTAAGCTGATTTTGATCTACAATCTTGAATACTACAATTGTAGTTTCGTATTTAATTAATATTCTAGAACCAGTTCTTATACTAAGTGTTCAAAATGTGCTCTATCTACTTTCTGACAGTAATGCATCCATTTTTTAAACTTTTGTACTCGTTCAAATGTGTCTGGAGAAATTTCCCTACATTCTTCAACAATTCGTTATTTCAAAATGTCTATACTATATGTCTACATAGAGTGCTGCAACGTAAATCTTAGATTTTAAGTACCCCCACAGAAAAAAATCTAATGGTGTGAGGTCCAGTGACCGAGCTGGCCATTTTATCGAACCTCGTCAAATCCATCTATCACATTATTTCTCATCTAGGTAACGTCTTACTGCACCATAATAGTGTGCAGGAGCACCTTGTTATTTCCAAGTTAACAAATTCATCTAGATTATCTTCCAGAAATTCAATAATTAACGGCTCAGTTGGCTGCACCGGTTAAGTTAGTATTGAGAAAAACAGGTACAACTATGTGGTTTTCTAAAATACATACCCAAATATTTACTTTTTCTGGAAATTGAGTATATTTTTCATGAAAAACTTAAGGATTTGTGTCACTCTAATAGCTCGCAGTATGTGTGTTAACATTTCAATTAGAGAAACAGTAACTACTTTCGTCACTAAAATAAATTGTTTTTATGCAATCTGGCTATTGGTTAATTTGATTGGACATATTTTCACAGAATTCTAGTCTTCGGTCGGGGTCATCTGAAAGTTGATGCATACTTTTTAATTTGTATGTATGAAATTTCTTTTTAGCTAACACTCGGTGTACTGTTCTTTCGCAACTTGAGCTGTAGAAGAAGTAGGATTCACTAAAATTTCTGCAATTATGTCAGTTTTTTGTCATCACTAATTATTGGTCGGCAAGATCGTTTGGCATCTTAAACACTACCTGTTTATTCAACCGTCTGACGAACCTCCTTTAAATAAGTCCTCGATATAGGGCGATCGAGGTACGTCACATTAAAATGGCGTTTCGCTGGATACAATATTAATTCTACATTCACAAATTATTAAGACAGCTACTACTTTGTCGGCAATAGTACGTACCATTCTGCCTATGTAAACATTTTAAACGTATCGATAAACAATAATTAAACTAAATATTTTAGGTATAAAAGTTAGAAAGGTTAGAGGAGGACGTTAGAATTTTTATCAATTAAATGCGAAACTATAATTTTAGTATTTATTTAATTTATTCATCAAAATCAGCTTAAACCCAAACAAAATTAGTATGATTGAATATGTATGTTCAATACCTTTCAAACGAGATAATACACACTGTTTTTGTTACTTACTTTACATAATTAAAGGTATTGTTAGTCAACGAAATATAAAAGTTGACACATAAATAACACTATTCCACGCAATAATAGCATAAAATATTTATTTGGGCCAAAAACTTTTTTGAACAGGGAACAATCTAACACTATTTACCCTTAAAGATACTACTGCTTTATTAACTCATCTCTCGTTACTGACTCTTTTCTTGAGTTTATTTTCTGTACTATTTATTTCCTCCTCATGTAGAAGACGGTGCGAAGAACTAGAAAGAAAATAAGTTGTTAAACAAGCTATGCATCAACATTTATTAAGGGAAATCTAATCTAAATCTATTACTCTTGACCAAAGTTGTAGTCTAAAAAATTAGCATGTTTTAACAACCTATACCTGGTTCGATACTAACTTTTTTAACAAACATGTTATGCGAGTAAATTTAATAAATGTATTTAGGCATATAAAAATATCTCATAAAGGCTATTACAAATTTTTACCTAGAGGAAATATACAACAATGACCACACTCACAGATGATGATCTCAAAACAGTTCTTAACAAAAAAAAATTGAACAGTGTTAACTTATTCAAAGACTTCAAGTTATTTACTGTAATCTTTCTTGTGTATGTTAAAACAACTAGTAACCCTGTTTTAATCTATTGAAAAGACAGCAAGTTATTCAATTCTATTTAATGTAATATTTATTGTGTTTTTTATATCCACTATAATAATAATAGCCTTGCGCGGTTGATGTGGTTTTGTTTAAATAAAAAAAAAGACAAAGTTTATTTTTAACTTAATAATGTATGTGTCGTCCTTCAACATTAGTAATTGTTTGAGTTGGACTCGCAGGTTAATTCTTCTTCTTAACGTGCCCCATCCCTAAGGACATTGGCGATCATCATCGCACATTTGACTCTATTTGCAGACGTTCTGAAAAGTTCTATTGACGTTTTCCCACTCCATTGTCTCAGATTCTTCAACCAGGACGTCGTAGGCGCGTCTTCTCCCTGGTCTTCTTTTGCCTTCCACCTTCCCTTGTATGACCAGCCACATCAATTCGTATTTCTCGTTTCTTAGTATGTGACCAAAGTAGCTCATTTTTCTTTTCTTCATAGTGTTGAGTATTTCTTTATCTTTTTTATTCTTCGTAGTGTTTCCGCATTTGTTATGTTTGTGTCCAAGATATTTTCCACATTCTTCGATAACACCGCATTTCAAAGTTAATGAGTCTTTTTTCTGTCGTCTGTAATTGTCCAGGCCTCGACTCCATACAACAAGACAGAGAACACGTAGCACTCAATACTCTAGTTCTAATTTCTATGTTGAGTTTTCCATTGCATAGTATTGCTTTCATCTTATTAAATGCACTTCTATAACTTTAAGCTATCTCAATACGCCGTTGTATTTCCGTACTTCTATCCCATTCTTCATTTAGTTCGCAACCTAAGTACTGATATCTATGCACCCTGCCTAAAAGTTTTCCTTTAGCATAAACACTGTCTTCCTCAATCTTGTTCTTGCTTACCACCATGATTTTTGTTTTATTTGTATTCAGTGTCATTCCATACCTTTCGTAGTATTGGGTAATGCGATCAACCAAGATCTGTAGTCCTTCTCTGCTGTCTGCAAGGAGTATTGTGTCATCTGCGTATTATTCAGAACTGCTCCGTTAATAAATATGTCTTCATTTACGTCTACTAATGCCTCTTTAAACAATTCTTCTGAATACATATTAAAAAGTAAAGGGGAAGCACACATCCTTGTCTTACTCCACGATTTATCGGTATTTCTTTCGATTTTTGTTGGTCTATTCGTATTATGGCTTTCTGATATCGGTATAGATTGGCAATGATTCTCACGTCTTCCTCATGTAATTCTGTCTTCTGCAGTATTTTTGCCATTCTTCGGTATTGTACTTTGTCGAAAGCTTTTTCGAAGTCGACTAGACGTATGAATACGACGCAATTGACATCTCGACATCGTTCGATTAGTGTTTGTACAGTAAATAATGCTTCTCTGGTGCCAAAGCCTTTTCTGAATCTCAATGGTTTTCAGCTAATCTATCATCTAGCTTTTTATAGATACGTTCGTGTATCACTCGTAAGAACACTTTTAAAATATGGTTCATCCAGCTAATTGTCCTGTGCTCTTCACACTTCATTGCGTTTGATTTTTTGGGTATTGGAATGAAATAACCATAATATTAACCATTCTTTCGGAATCTCTCCCGTATAATAAATGTCATTAATTAATTCTATTAGTGTGCTCATATGATTTTTTGTTAATATTCATAAGATTTCTGTAGGTATTTCATCTGGTCCCATGGACTTCTCATTTTTTATACGTTTTAGCGCTTTCTCAATTTCGTCTTTGGTGATTGGTGGCCCATTTCTTCCTCTTGTTTAATGACCTCAATTTTCACGTTGTCTTCGAATAGCTCTTTTACGTTTATCTTTCCATCTGTTTATTTTATCTGTACATTCCGTTATTATCTTATTTTTATCCATGATATTTCCGATACCCTTCTTCTTGTATATGCCAGCTGTCTCTTTGATTTTCCGGTGTATGTTAAAACTGTCATGTTGTTTATTTAACCTTTCTATTTCTTCACACTTTTCTGATAGCCACAGTTCCTTAGCTTCTTTGATTTTCTGTTTCAATTATCTTATTAATTTTTTGTACTGTTGTTCGCTTTTATTCTTGTGTGCCCTTCTTTCCGTCATCAGTTCTTTTATCTCTTGTGTGATCCATTGTTTATTTTTAGATGATGTGTCTTCTTGAAGTTTTTGTTTTGTGATATTTCTCAAGATCTCCTCTACTTTCCTCCATTTATCCGTTGCTGTCAATTGCTTTTGCCTTTCTACTTTCTGAACTTCTTTGTGCA